ATCATCACCGCATCGTCATCATCGTCGTCATCGTCATCATCATCACGCGGCACTTTCGGATGCGCTGCTGCTTCTGCGGCCGTCTGGAACGCTCTTCCTGACCAATATCAGGAAGCCACTGGGAGCTCCGATGCACTTTGACGTCATCATCGTCGTCTACATTGACGAACTCATCTCTCTAGAACTGCTTGTTGATGTTGTTGTTGTGTTTAGTTTGTTGTCCTTACCCCCACCGTACCTCCAATGAGCGTGGTTGGCTACGCACCGTGGTGTGAAAGAAGTGCACCGTACATACAGAGCTCGCTTTGAATTTGGGCCGCCCGTAATGAACCCAGGCAGCCGTGCGTCCCCAGACCGACGTCTCAGCCCGGTCTCCGGTGACATCGCAAAGCCGAGCGCGGCCAATGAATATTCAAAGACAAAGGTCCCCCCGTGTAGCCTTAACAGACGGCTGGGGCAAGTTCTGTTGGCGAGCACCTATGAAGGCCGGCAGCTCGGGCATACGAGCGGGTGGGGTGGCCAGCACCACGCCCGGCCGCCTTTGTCTCCCCAGTGGCGATGTTTACACATCGCAGCGCACCGGGTGCTCACTTGAGGCCGAGTCGACCTATCGGTGGGCCCACCCAGTCGGGCACTCGGTCACGCACACGGATGGGCACACACTCACGGACACACGCAGTCACACACGCTCGCGCAAAAAAATGGCACACGCACGCACACGTTGCTAATGGGAAAAGGGTTAATTTAGTTAGCGTTCCCAGAGTTTTTAGGATTCCACAGAATTCCCAGAGTGTCCCGGCGGCAAATTAGGGCTCTCTGGGAAAGAGTGTGAGCAGCAGACCCATCATACCGGGCAATTACAGAGCCTCGGCACCACACACACACGCACGCACGCACACACGCACACACGCACGCACACACGCACACATACACACACGCACACACACAAGCACACAGACCCATAGTACCGGGCAATTACAGAGCCTCGGCACCACACACAGACACGCGCACACGCACACACACACGCACGCACGCACACACGCACACACACACGCACGCACAGACGCACGCACACGCACGCACACACGCACACACACACGCACACACACACACACAAACACGCACACACGCACACACACACGCACACAGACCCATAGTACCGGGCAATTACAGAGCTTTGGCACCACACACAGACACGCACACACACATGCACGCACACACATGCACACACACACACGCACACACACACGCACACAGACCCATAGTACCGGACAATTAGAGAGCCTCGGCACCACACACACACACACATGCACAGACACACACGCACAGACACATGCACGCACAGACACATGCACGCACAGACACATACACGCACACACACAACGCACACACGCACACATGCACGCACAGACACACGCACAGACGCACAGACGCACACACAGACGCATACACACACAGATGCATACACACGCACAAACACATACACACGCACAAACACATACACACGCACGCACGCACGCACAGACGCACGCACATACGCACACACGCACGCACAGACACATACACACGCACAACAACAACAACAACCGCCATTCGCCACTAAGTGGCGGTGACGTCACCACGACGCTTGTGCCAGGCCATGTGCACCTTGAAGCCACGTGAAGTGTCGAACGCCCGCTGGCAGGAGGTCACAGGGCAGACCCAAGTGCCACGGGACGACTGACTGAGATGACTGGCTGATGCACCACCTGTGCCCCCTACTGTGCCAACCTGCTGTGCTTTAGCCACCCGGCGCTCCGCTCGTTGTTGTGAGCGTCGCTCCTCCGCCCTCCGTTGTTGTTGGAGGGCGACTGCCTCACGAGCCTCCTCCACAGAGGCCGATCTTGACACCGCTGGTACCGGTTATCGGCAAGTCCACTCAGCTCCACGTCCTCCTGTACCACATCAATCCATCTCTTCTCTAGCCCGTGCCGCGCCCGTTTAGCCCCCTCGATCCGGCCGAACAAAGCTGTTTCGGCATGCGGTAGCTGGGCATGCGGGCTACATGACCCAGCCAACGCAGCCTTGCCTGCCGGAGGAGCTCACCGATGGGACTTTGTCCAGATCTTTGAAGGATTTGTGAGCTCCTCACACAATCCAGCCTGGTTAAACCCAGGATGGATCGTAGGCAGACCAGCCTAAATGTTTCTAACCGGCGAAGATGTTCCATTAGGGGTGTCCACGTTTTGCAAGCGTAGAGAAGGGAGGGAATGACCGTGGCCGAGAAGACTTAAAGCTTTGTGCGGAGTGACAGACCAGGTAGCTTCCACACAGCGTTACGCAACCGATGAAAAGATAATGCCGCTCGACTGATTCTGAGTGAGACCTCTGCTGTCAAACCGGAGCCGGTCATGAGCACACTGCCCAGGTATGGGAAACTCTCCACTTTCTCCACAACTGCCCCATCACCGATTGGGAGTTTTGGGGTTGGTGTGTCCGATGGTACAAAATACCCAGGCAGGTGCTTAGTTTTGGTGGGGCTGATGGTAAGGCCCCACCTCTTAGTGGCACGCTCCAGGTTCAGCAGCAGCACCTCCAACTCCTCTGAGTGAGCGGCAATTACCAGATCGGCAAACATAACATAGTTGACCAATAGGGAGCCATCCCTTGACCGCACCAGGGCATCGATTAGCCTCCCATTCTATCTGTACCAGATGGAAATTCCTCTGGTACACCCATCAAAGGCTTCACGGACTACGTGGTCGAAAAAGATGTTAAACAATGTGGGAGCCAGAGGACATCCCTGTCGCTCCCCAAGGTGTACAGAGAATCGCTCCGACTCCCGGCCACGTAGTTTTTTCCGGGCCCGCTCACCATCATGAAGGTCCTTAATGATCGTGAGCAGAGGGTCAGGGACTCCAAAAGCACGAAGAACAACCCAGAGCCCGGGCCTACTGATGGTATCATAGGCCTTGACCAGGTCAATAAAGCAGAGATGTAGGTCTTGCTGGAATTGATGTCATTCAGGGCAGTCTGCACACAGATGTCACCCTCCCTCAGCATTTCGTTTGGGAGATCATCTCTGCCCGTCGCTTAAACACACACTTCAACTCACACACACACTTACAAAGACAAAGATCCCCCGTATAGCCTTAACAGACTGTAGGGGCAAGTGCTGTTAGCGAACATCTCTGAACGCCGGAACGGTACACGAGGGGGTGGGTGGCCAGCAACCACGCCCGACCGCCTTTGTCTCCCCAGTGGCGATGTTTACACACCGCACCAGGTACTCATTTCAGGCTGAGTCGACCTAGGGGAGGCCCAGGACCGGTTCAGATAATCGTCACTGGTGTTGGCCGTGAGCGGGAACCAGTCAATAAAGCAGAGACGTAGGTCTTGTTGGAATTCCCTACACCTCTGCTGTAGCAGACGGACAATATGGCATCTGTGCAGGACCGTCCTTTCCTGAAACCGCATTGCGGCTCCGCAAGCCTCTCCTCAACGTGCCTGGCAAGGCGGTGTTAAGTAATCCTTGCCAGGATCTTTCCCGGCACACTGAGGAGTGAAATGCCCCTGTAGTTATTACAGTCTGTGCGGTCCCCCTTCTTAAAGAGGGGGACCACAAGGGCATCCTTTCAATCCTGCGGAACCCATCCAGTGGTCCAGACTGTTGTTATGATGTCATATAGGGCAGTCTGTGCACAAATGCCACCCTCCCTCAGCATTTCGCTTGGGAGATCATCTCTGCCCGGTGCCTTTCCTGGTCTCAGACTCCGGATCGCCTTTAGTACTTCCTCAATAGATGGCACCTCAGCCAGCCACTCACAGGGGGTAACTTCTTCAAATATTTGAGGCACCGCAGCCTCAGCAGGGTCATCCCCACTTTGTCCCACGATGTTTTCCATGTCGAGGGATTTCCCCTCCCCAGGACTTCACAGAAATGCTCTGCAAATCTGCAAACCTGCAAACCTTTTCCTGGGGGTCAGTGATTGGATCACCGTTCTTTCCCCTAATAAGTCGACCTTGCGGAGGCCCTGGACCAATTCAGATAATCGTCACTGTTTCTGCTGTTTGTGGGCGGGAATCGAACTCGCTGGGTTTTGTAGAGCTAATGCTCCCCCACTGTGTGTGTGTGTCTATGTGTGTGTGTACGAGTGTACGTGTGTCGAACCTTATATCGCACGGTACGTAGCCAACCGTGCTAATCGGAGGTCATGTGTTAACACACACATGACACAGATGCACACACACATATATACAAAGACACACACACACAAATACACACAGACACACACACGTATATACAAAGACACACACGGATACACATAGATGCCAATACCCGCAATTCACCACTATGTGAAGGTGACGTCACCACGGCGCTTGTGCCAGGCTATGTGCACCTTGAGGCCACGGGAAGTGTCGAAGGCTCGCTGGCAGGAGGTCACGGGACAGACCCAGGTGCCACGGGTCAGCTGACCGAGATGACTGGTAGATGCACCACCTGTGCCCCCTACTGTGCCAACCTGCTATGCTTTAGCCACCCGGTGCTCCGCTCATTGTTGTGAGCATCCCTCCTCCGCCCTCCGTTGTTGTTGAAGGGCGACTACCTCCAACTGCCCAGTAGCGTCCTTCACGAGCCTCCTCCACAGAGGCCGATCTTGACACCGCTTGTACCAGTCATCGGCAAGTTCACTCAGCTCCACGTCCTCCTGTACCACATCACTCCATGTTGCGGTACACCAGTCCGTGTCATGTCCGTTTAGCCCCCTCTATACGGCCAAACAGAACCTGCTTGGGCATGCGGTGGCTGGGCATGTGGGCTACATGACCCATGCCAACGCAGCCTTGCCTCCTGGAGGAGCTCACCGATGGGAATGCGACATAGACACTGAAAGAAGCACACGCACACACACATATATAAATACACAGACACACACAAATACACACATTGTTGTATGACGCTGAATCTGCTGGTGCTCAAGATGTCATTATTTTTTCCTTCTCTCTGTCCGTGTGGTCAGACTGGGTGGAGTGAGCGAGTGAGTGAGCGAGCGAGCGGGTTGGCGTGTGAGTGAGTGAGAGAGCGAGTGAGCGTGTGAGTGAGAGAGCGAGCGAGTGAGCGTGTGAGCGTGTGAGCGTGTGAGTGAGAGAGCGAGCGAGTGAGCGTGTGAGTGTGTGCGTGTGAGTGAGAGAGCGAGAGAGCGAGTGAGCGTGTGAGAGGGTGAGAGGGTGAGCGTGTGAGCGTTTGAGCGTGTAAGTGAGCGTGTGAGTGAGCGTGTGAGTGAGAGAGCGAGCGTGTGAGCGTGTGAGTGAGTGAGCGTGTGAGCGTGTAAGTGAGCGTGTGAGCGTGTGAGCGAGTGAGCGTGTGATCGAGTGAGTGAGTGAGCGTGTGAGCGTGTAAGTGAGCGTGTAAGTGAGCGTGTGAGTGAGCGAGTGAGCGAGTGAGCGTGTAAGTGAGCGTGTGAGCGAGTGAGCGTGTGAGTGTGTAAGCGAGTGAGCGTGTAAGTGAGCGTGTGAACGAGTGAGCGTGTGAGTGTGTAAGCGAGTGAGCGTGTGAGCGAGTGAGCGTGTAAGTGAGCGTGTGAGCGAGTGAGCGTGTGAGTGTGTAAGCGAGTGAGCGTGTAAGTGAGCGTGTGAACGAGTGAGCGTGTAAGTGAGCGTGTGAGTGAGCGTGTGAGTGAGCGTGTGAACGAGTGAGCGTGTGAGTGTGTAAGCGAGTGAGCGTGTGAGCGAGTGAGCGTGTAAGTGAGCGTGTGAGCGAGTGAGCGTGTGAGTGTGTAAGTGAGCGTGTGAGCGAGTGAGCGTGTAAGTGAGCGTGTGAGTGAGCGAGTGAGCGTGTGAGTGAGCGAGTGAGCGAGTGAGCGATGTCACGAGTGCGAGCACCGCCCCAGGTGACCGGCATCTCCCCCAAGGAGGGAGCGCCGTGGACCAAGGTGACGATCCGCGGAGAGAACCTGGGAACTGGACTCTCAGATATCACCGGTAGCCACTCACCACACTCACTCACCACACTCACTCACCACACTCACCACACTCACCACACTCACTCGCCACACTCACCACACTCACTACCCTCACCACACTCACCACACTCACCATACTCACCACCCTCACTCAACACCCTCACTCACCACACTCATTCACCACACTCACCACACTCACTCACCACATTCACCACACTCACCACCCTCACTCACCACACTCACCACACTCATTCACCACACTCACCACACTCACCACCCTCACTCACCACACTCACTCACCACACTCCCTCACCACACTCACCACCCTCATTCACCACCCTCACTCACCACGCTCACTCACCACACTCACCACGCTCACTCACCACACTCACCACACTCACTCACCACACTCACCACCCTCACCACACTCACCACACTCACTCACCACACTCACCACACTCACTCACCACACTCACTCACCACACTCACTCGCCACACTCACCACACTCACTTACCACACTCACTCACCACACTCAACACCCTCACGACACTCACCAACCTCACCACACTCACTCACCACACTCACTCACCACACTCACTCACCACACACACTCACCACACTCACCACACTCACTCACCACACTCACCACACTCACCACCCTCACTCACCACCCTCACCCCCCACACTCACCACACTCATTCACCACACTCATTCACCACACTCATTCACCACACTCATTCACCACACTCACTCACCACCCTCACCACACTCACTCACCACACTCACTCACCACACTCACCACACTCACTCACCACACTCACTCACCACACTCACTCACCACACTCACCACACTCACTCACAACACTCACTCACCACACTCACCACACTCACTCACAACACTCACTCACCACACTCACCACACTCACTCACCACACTCACTCACCACACTCACCACCCTCACTCACCACACTCACTCACCACACTTACCACACTCACTCACCACACTCACTCACCACCCTCACCATCCTCACCACTCTCACTACCCTCACTCACCACCCTCACCACACTCACCACCACCCTCACTCACCACCCTCACCATACTCACCACTCTCACTCACCACCCTCACTCACCACACTCACTCACCACACTCACTCACCACACTCACCACACTCACCACCCTTGCCACCCTCACCACCCTCACCACCCCTCACTCACCACCCTCACCACACTCACTCACCACCCTCACCACCACCCTCACTCACCACCCTCACCACACTCACTCACCACCCTCACTCACCACCCTCACCACACTCACCACCACCCTCACCACACTCACCACCACCCTCACCACCCTCACCACCCTCACTCAACCACCCTCACCACACTCACCACCAGCCTCACCACACTCACCACCCTCAGCACCCTCACTCAAAGACAAAGATCCCCTGTATAGCCTTAACAGACTGTAGGGGCAAGTGCTGTTAGCGAGCACCTATGAAGGCAGGAACGGTACACGAGGGGGTGGGTGGCCAGCACCACGCCCGACCGCCTTTGTCTCCCTAGTGGCGATGTTTACACACCACACCAGGTACTAATTTGAGGCTGAGTCGACCTAGGGGAAGCCCAGGACCGGTTCAGATAATCGTCACTGGTGTTGGCCGTGAGCGGGAATCGAACCCGGGTCGCCAGGTTCATAGCGCAGCGCGCTAACCGCTACACTATCGCGACACACACACACACAACCACCCCCACCACCCTCACCGCCCTCACTCACCACCCTCACCACACTCACCACCACCCTCACCACCCTCACCGCCCTCACTCACCACCCTCACCACACTCACCACCACCCTCACCACCCTCACCACACTCACCACCACCCTCACCACCCTCACCGCCCTCACTCACCACCCTCACCACCCTCACCGCCCTCACTCACCACCCTCACCACACTCACCACCACCCTCACCACCCTCACCGCCCTCACTCACCACCCTCACCACACTCACCACCACCCTCACCACCCACACTCACCACCCTCACTCACCACCCTCACCACCCTCACTCACCACACTCACCACCCTCACTCACCACCCTCACTCACCACACTCACCAAACTCACCACCCTCACTCACCACACTCACCACCTTCACTCACCACCCTCACCACACTCACCACCACCCTCACCACCCTCACCACACTCACCACACTCACCACCCTCACCACACTCACCACCACCCTCACCACCCTCACTCACCACACTCACCACCCTCACTCACCACCCTCACTCACCACCCATACTCACCACACTCACCACCACCCTCACCACCACCCTCACCACCCTCACCACCCTCACTCACCACCCTCACCACACTCACCACCCTCACCACACTCACTCACCACCCTCGCCACCCTCACCACCCTCACCACACTCACTCACCACCCTCACCACCCTCGCCACCCTCACGACTGTCATCGTCACCACCATCACCGTCTTAACCACCACAACCATCAGCACCCGGACCACCACCATAGCACCAGCACCAACTCTGTCGCCACTACCACCATCGTCACCACCACCTGCACCACCAACCTCACCACCGCCAATGTTGTTATCGTCACTACTGCCACCACCACCACGACCACCACCACCACCACCACCACGACCACCTCCACCACGACCACCACCACGACCACCACCACCACCATCATCACCACATCCACCACCACGACCACCACGACCACCACCACCACGACCACCACCACCATCTCCACCACGACCACCACCACCACCTCCACCACGACCACGACCACCGCTACCACCACCACCACCACCTCCACCACGACCACCACCACCACCTCCACCACGACCACTACCACCACCACTACCACGACCACCACCACTACCACCACCACCACCACGACCACCACCACCACCACGACCACCACCACGACCACCACCACCACCACGACCACCACCACCACCACCACCATCACCACCACCACCACCACCACCACCACGACCACCACCACCATCTCCACCAAGACCACCACCACCATCTCCACCACTACCACCACCACCACCACCACTACCACCACCACTACCACCACTACCACCACTACCACCACCACTACCACCACTACCACCACTACCACCACCACTACCACCACTACCACCATGACCACCACCACCACCACCCCCCGTCATCATCATCGTCATCATCGTCGTCATCATTGTTGTCGTCGTCGTGCCCGCTGTGACCCCAGGGCTGACGATCTGTGGCCACAGCTGCCTGCTCACGGCCGAGTGGCTCTCTGCCGGCAAGCTGACTTGCCGCACGGGGCCGGCGGCTCGTGGGGACGGGCGTGGCGACATCATCGTCACCACACGCTCGGGCGGGCGCGGCTCCAGCACCGTCACGTTCCGCGTGCTCACGCCACAGCAGATCGGTACGCATGCACGTGGTCACGTGGTCACGTGGTCACGTGGTCACGTGGTCACGTGGTCACGTCCAAACAGATTGGCACGATAATGATGAATAACTGCAGGATGGTGACGACGGTGGTGCTGATGGAGGTGACGATGGCGGCAGCGATGATTATGATGGCAGTGATGGTGTGCAGGTGACGGTGGTGATGGTGACGGTGACGATGGTGGCGGTGGTGATGGTGGCGGTAGTGATGGTGGCGGTGATGCTGGTGACGGTGGTGACATGGTGGGGATGGTGGCGGTTATGATGGTGACGGTGACGATGGTGGCGGTGGTGATGGTGGCGGTGATGATGGTGACGGTGGTGATGGTGACGATGGCGGTGGTGATGGTGGCGGTGGTGATGGTGGCGGTGGTGATGGTGGCGGTGGTGATGGTGGCGGTGATGCTGGTGATGGTGGTGATGGTGGCGGTGATGATGGTGACGGTGGTGATGGTGACGGTGACGATGGCGGTGGTGATGGTGGCGGTGGTGATGGTGGCGGTGATGCTGGTGATGGTGGTGATGGTGGCGGTGATGATGGTGACGGTGGTGATGATGACGGTGGTGATGGTGGCGGTGGTGATGGTGGCGGTGGTGATGGTGGCGGTGGTGATGGTGGCGGTGGTGATGGTGACGGTGGTGATGATGACGGTGGTGATGGTGACGATGGTGATGGTGACGATGGTGACGATGGCGGTGGTGATGGTGGCGGTGGTGATGGTGACAGTGGTGATGATGACGGTGGTGATATGGTGGTGATGGTGGCGGTGGTGATGGTGGCGGTGATGATGGTAACAGTGGTGATGATGACGGTGGTGATGGTGACGGTGGTGATGGTGATGGTGATGATGACGGTGGTGATGGTGACGATGATGACGATGGCGATGGTGACGATGGCGGTGGTGGCGGTGGTGATAGTGACGATGGTGATGGTGACGATGGTGACGATGGCGGTGGTGATGGTGGCGGTGGTGATGATGACGGTGGTGATGATGACGGTGGTGATATGGTGGTGATGGTGGCGGTGGTGATGGTAACAGTGGTGATGATGACGGTGGTGATGGTGACGGTGGTGATGGTGACGGTGATGATGGTGATGATGACGGTGGTGATGGTGACGATGATGACGATGGCGATGGTGACGATGGCGGTGGTGGCGGTGGTGATAGTGACGATGGTGATGGTGACGATGGTGATGGTGACGATGGTGACGATGGCGATGGTGACGATGGCGGTGGTGGCGGTGGTGATAGTGACGATGGTGATGGTGACGATGGTGACGATGGCGGTGGTGATGGTGGCGGTGGTGATGGTGACAGTGGTGATGATGACGGTGGTGATATGGTGGTGATGGTGGCGGTGGTGATGGTGGCGGTGATGATGGTTACAGTGGTGATGATGACAGTGGTGATGGTGACGATGGTGATGGTGACGGTGATGATGGTGATGATGACGGTGGTGATGGTGACGATGATGACGATGGCGATGGTGATGATGGCGGTGGTGGCGGTGGTGCTGATGGAGGTGACGATGGCGGCAATGATGATTATGATGGCAGTAATGGTGTGCAGGTGATGGTGGCGGTGGTGATGGTGACGGTGGTGATGGTGACGGTGGTGATGGTGACGGTGGTGATGGTGATGGTGACGGTGGTGATGGTGACGGTGGTGATGGTGACGGTGGTGATGGTGGTGATGGTGGCGGTGATGATGGTGGTGATGATGATAATGGTGATGATGGTGACGGTGGTGACGGTGGTGATGGTGATGGTGGTAACGATGGTGATGATGGTGATGATGGTGGTGACAATGGTGATGATGGTGATGATGATGGTGGTGATGGTGGCGGTGATGATGACGGTGGTGACGGTGGTGATGGTGGTGATGATGTCGATGGCGGTGGTGATGGTGGTGATGGTGGTGATGGTGGCAGTGATGATGGTGATGATGGTGGCGGTGGTGACGGTGGTGATGGTGATGATGGTGACAGTGACAATGGTGACAGTGACGATGGTGACAGTGACGATGGTGATGGTGGTGACGATGGTGATGATGGTGATGATTACGGTGGTGATGGTGATGATGGTGGTGACGATGGTAATGATGGTGGCGGTGGTGACGGTGGTGACGGTGGTGATGGTGATGATGGTGATGGTGATGATGGTGGCGGTGATGATGGTGACGGTGGTGATGGTGATGGTGGTGACGATGGTGATGATCACGGTGGTGATGGTGGCGGTGATGATGGTGATGATGGTGGTGACGATGGTGGTGATGGTGACGATGGTGATGGTGACGGTGGTGACGATGGTGATGATCACGGTGGTGATGGTGGCGGTGATGATGGTGATGATGGTGGTGACGATGGTGGTGATGGTGACGATGGTGATGGTGGTGGCGATGGTGACGGTGGTGACGATGGTGACGATGGTGATGGTGGCGGTGATGATGGTGATGATGGTGGTGACGATGGTGGTGATGGTGATGGTGGTGATAGTGACAGTGACGATGATCACGGTGGCGATGGTGACGATGGTGACGATGGTGACGTTGACGGTGGTGATGGTGATGATGGTGATGGTGATGGCGGTGACGATGGTGATGGTGGTGATGGTGACAGTGACGATGATCACGGTGGTGATGGTGGCAGTGATGATGGTGATGGTGACGATGGTGACGGTGATGACGTTGACGGTGGCGGTGTGCTGCAGGTGTTTTGGAGCCGTGTGCCGTGTGGGTGGAGGAGTCGGGCGTCAACCTGAGGCTGAGCCGGAACAAAGCGGCGTCGCCCCTCTCACTGCGGCCCACCAACCCCCTGGGGGTTGACATTGACCGGTGAGTGTGGTGAGTGTAGGGGAGGGTGGTGAGTGTGGTGAGTGTGGTGAGTGTAGGGGAGGGTGGTGAGCGTGGTGAGTGTGGTGAGTGTAGGGGAGGGTGGTGAGTGTAGTGAGTGTGGTGAGTGTGAGGTGGTGAGTGTGGTGAGTGAGGTCAGTGTGGTGAGGTTAGTGAGCGTGGTGAGCGTGGTGAGTGTGGTGAGTCTAGGGAAGGGTGGTGTAGCGGTCACAAACCCGCACGCGTGTCACACCACACACACACACGTGTCACACCACACACACACGCGTGTCACACCCCACACACACGCGTGTCACACCCCACACACACGCGTGTCACACCACACACACACGCGTGTCACACCCCACACACACACGCGTGTCACACCCCACACACACGCGTGTCACACCCCACACACACGCGTGTCACACCCCACACACACACGCGCGTCACACCCCACACACACGCGTGTCACACCCCACACACACGCGTGTCACACCCCACACACACGCGTGTCACACCACACACACACACGTGTCACACCACACACACACACACACGTGTCACACCCCACACACACACGCGTGTCACACCACACACACACACGTGTCACACCCCACACACACGCGTGTCACACCCCACACACACGCGTGTCACACCCCACACACACGCGTGTCACACCCCACACACACACGCGTGTCACACCACACTCACACGTGTGTCACACCACACTCACACGTGTGTCACACCACACGTGTGTGTGGGGTTCTGGGAACTGGTCTCCGGCAATCCGCGTTGTTCTAATCTCCTCCTCCTCCAGATGTTTACACTTCGGGGTGCCTCATTAATTCGCGTGGATGGGGGGGGGGGCCATTATGAACCCCCTCTCCCCCCCCCCCCCGCCCCCCGAGAGAGAAAGACAAAGATCCCCCACCGTGTAGCCTCTAACAGACTGTCGGGGCAAGTGCCGTGAGCAGCGGGTGGTAGCAGGCACCGTGGCACACGAGGGGGTGGGTGGCCAGCTACCACGCCCGGCCGCCTTTGTCTCCTCGGTTCAGATGATTGTCAGAGGGCGTGAGAGGAAACGGAACCCCGGGTCTCAGCCGGGGTTCGTAGCGCAGTGCAGCGCTAACAAACTGAACACAGCAACAACAACAAGCAGCAGTTCTAGAGGGGTGAGTTTGTCAATGTTGACGGCGTCAAAGTGCACCACAGCTCCCCGGTGGCTTCCTAATGTCGGTCAGGAAGAGCGTTCCAGACGGCCGGCGGAAGCAGCAGCGCATCTGAAAGCGCCGCGCGCTGACGACGATGATGATGACGATGATGATGTTGATGATGATGATGATGATTACGATGACGACGATGACGACGATGACGATGATGATGACAACGATGACGATGATGACGATGATGATGATGATGACGACGACGACGATGATGACGATGATGATTACGATGATGATGATTACGATGCTGATTACGACGACAATGACGATGATGATGATGATTACGACGATGACGACGACAATGACGACGATGATGACGATGATGATTACGATGATGATGACGACGATGATGATGATTACGATGATGATGATTACGATAACGCTGACGATGATGACGATGATGACGATGATGATGATGATGACTACGATGATGATGATGATGACGACGATGATGACGACGATGACGACGATGATGATGATGATGACGATGATGATGTTGATGATGACGATGATGATTACGACGACGATGACGACGATGATGATGATGATTACGATGATGATGACGATCATGATGATGATGACGATGATGCGGTGACCACCGTCTTTGTTCGATGGCCCAGCCAGAAGCCGCTGCTGTGAGGATGACCACCTGAGTTGGCGTGGTGGTGGTGGTCATAGTGTTGGTGGTGATTGTAGTGGTGGTGGTGGGTTGGAGTGATCGGAAGGCATGGGCCAGATCAGCTCAATAACAACGGTAGGAGGCTGCTAGACTCCTGTGCAGCCCATGGGCTTGTAATTACCAACACGCTGTTCTGGCATCGGCGCATCCACACAACTATCATAGATGCATGCCGGGTCCAAGCAAGAACATCTGCTGGACTACGTAGTGACGGAACAGTGGATGCGGGCCCATGTCCTTGACACCAGGACCTACCGTTGGAGCCGATCTGACCATCGACTTGTCATCTGTAAGATGCGCCTGCCATTCTTCCACTCCGGTGGTGGGTGTACACCCAGGACCCCATTCAAACCCTTAGTGGCCTGGTCTCAGCTAGCTGATGAAAGTTGCAAGCAGGAATTTCATCATCGCTTGCAGCCTGGGGTTGGTATCGTCCCCCCGCTCCTCCTGATGTCGAGGGGAAATGGGCGAGGTTCAGATCTGTGGCTCATGCAGCTGCAACGGCTGCATTGGGTACACGGTCCAGACTTCCCCAGAGACCCTGGCTGAAGGAGGTGTTCAGGATGGTTGAGAGAAAGCGACAGGCCCACTCCCGTCATCTACCACATCCAACATCAGAGAATGAGGAGGCTTACCGCAGCCTTTGCTCGGAGATTCGGAGAGCCGTGCGGCGCTGCAAGGATGATTGGTGGGTGCGGGTTGCTGAGGAGACGGAATCTTCCTCAGTCGCCCGCGATCACACAAAAAGTAACTTGCAGCACCTCAACTATCACCATCCTTAAGGGAAAGAACGGTGATCCGACCTCCGACCCCCAGGAACAGGTCTGCATTTTGTGAGGTCTTGGGGGAGGGGAATTCCCTCGGCCCAGACATCATCATGGGGCAAGGTGGGGACGACCCTGCTAGGGCTGCCGTGCCTCAAATATTGTCAGAAGCAGCCACCGCTTCTGAATGGTTGGCTGGCGCGCCATCTGTTGAGGAAGCGCTGAGAAGATCCAGAGTCTGGGACCAGGAAAAGCGCCGGGCAGAAACGATCTCCCAAGCGAAGTGCTGAGGGAGGGTGGCATCCTTCTGAATGGTTGGCTGGCGCGCCATCTGTTGAGGAAGCGCTGAGAAGATCCAGAGTCTGGGACCAGGACAACCGCCGGGCAGAGACGATCTCCCAAGCGAAGTGCTGAGGGAGGGTGGCATCCGTGTGCAGACCGCCCTACATGACATCATAATATGTTATTTTGGTTCGATCGCGTAAATATATTAAAATTGTCGTTAAAACCCGAACACCACCCGACACGGCCAATTGGTTAGGTTCGTCACGTGAGCAGAACGTGCCAATTCGTCACTAGTGACATGTCTTACTCGCTGGCTGTGTCGGGTGGTGGCGGGTTTACCGACACTTTTATATATTCACGCGATGTAACCCAAAAAAATTCTATATTATGGATGATATTGGTTGCGAAAAGCCTACGTGTTGAACTGCCCTACATGACATCATTACAACTGCCTGGACCACAGGACAGGTTCCACAGGATTGGAAGGATGCCAAGGGACCGCACAGACTGGTAACAACTGCAGGGGCACCTCACTCCTCAGTGTGCCGGGAAAGGTCCTGGCAAGGATTATTCAGCATCGCCTCGCCAGGCACGCTGAGGAGAGGCTTGCGGAGCCCCAATGCGGTTTCAGGAAAGGGCGGTCCTCCACAGATGCCATATTCTCTGTCCGTCTGCTACAGTAGAGGTGTTGGGAATTCCAACAAGACCTACATCTCTGCTTTATTGACCTGGTCAAGGCCTATGATACCATCTACAGGCCAGGCTGTTGGCAGTTCTTCGTGCTTTCAGAGTCCCTGACTCTCTGCTCACAATCATTATGGGCTTGTTTTCAGTTTCATTTATTTGGTATAGCCCTGTGAGCCATTCGGCTCTTGAATCGGGTGCAACCGCAACAACCAAAAAACATGAACAAGAAAAACATCTTGAAGTGACGATGCGCAAACAGAAGAATCCAGGAAAAAAACAGCAGGCTCGGGTAAAGTTCTTTGGCCAGGAGTCGGAGCCATTCCCTGTTCACCTTCGGGTGTCTACAGGGATGTCCTCTGGCTCCCATATTATTTCATATCCATTTCGACCGTGTATTTCGTGAAGCTTTCCATGGCTGTATTGAATGAGTTTTCATCAAGTACAGATGCAATGGGAGGCTGATAGATGCCCGGGTGCGGTCAAGAGATGGCTCCCTATTGGTCAACCATTTTAGGTATGCTGTTGATCTGGTGATTGCTGCTCACTCAGAGGATGAGTTGGAGGCGCTGCTGCTGAACCTGGAGCTTGCCACCAAGAGGAGACTTACCATCAGCCCCACCAAAACTAAGCACCTGCCTGGGTATTTTGTGCCATCAGACACTCCACCCCTTCAGCTCCCCATTGGTGATGGGGCAGTTGTGGAGAGAGTGGAGAGCTTCCCATACCTGGGCAGTGTGCTCATGACCGGCTCCGGTTTAACAGCAGAGGTCTCAGTCGAGCGGCAATAACTTTTCATCGGTTGCGTAACGCTGTGTGGAAGCTACCTGGGCTGTCGCTCCGCACTAAGCTTCAGGTCTTCTCGGCCACGGTCATTCCCTCCCTTCTCTACGCTTTCGATGGATCGAATGGAAGTTGTTGTTGTGTGTAGTGTGTTTGTGCGGTGTGTATGTAGTTTGTGTGTGTAGTTTGTGTGTTTGTATGGTGTATGTAGCTTGTGTGTGTGTGTGTGGTGTATGCAGTTTGTGTGTATGTGTAGTGTGTGTGGTACATGTGGTGTGTGTGGTACATGTGTGTGTTTGGTGTGTGCAGTGTGTGGTGTGTGTGTGGTGTCTGTGTGGTGTGTGTTTGGTGTGTCTGTAGTGTGTGGTGTCTGTGTGTGGTGTGTCTATAGTGTGGTGTGTGTAGTGTGTGGTGTGTGTGTAGTATGTGGTGTGTGTGTTGTGTGTGTGTAGAGTGTGGTGTGTGTGTTGTGTGTGTGTGGTGTGTGGTGTGTGTGTGGTGTGTCTGTAGTGTGTGGTGTGAGTGGTGTGTGTGTGTAGTGTGTCTGTGGTGTGTGTGAGTGGTGTGTGAGTGGTGTGTGTGTGGTGTGTGAGTGGTGTGTGTGTAGTGTGTGTATAGTGTGTGGTGTGTCTGTAGTGTGTGGTGTGTCTATAGTGTGTGGTGTGTGTGTGAGTGGTGTGTAGTGAGTCGTGTGTGTGTGGTGTGTGTGTGTGGTGTGTGTGTGTGTGTGGTGTGTGTGTGTAGTGTGTGGTGTCTGTGTGTGTGTAGTGTGTAGTGAGTGGTGTGTATGTAGTGTGTGGTGTGTGTGTGTGTGTAGTGTGTGTAGTGCGTGTGTAGTGTGTGGTGTCTGTGTGTGTGTAGTGTGTGGTGTGTGTGTGTAGTGTGTGGTGTGTGTGTAGTATGTGGTGTGTGTGGTGTGTGTGTGAGTGGTGTGTGTAGTATGTAGTATGTAGAGTGTGAGTAGTATGTAGTGTGTGTAGTATGTGTTGTGTGTGTAGTGTGTGGTGTGTGTGTAGTATGTGGTGTGTGTGTGGTGTGTGTAGTATGTAGTATGTAGAGTGTGAGTAGTATGTAGTGTGTGTAGTATGTGGTGTGTGTGTAGTGTGTAGAGTGTGTGTAGTATGTAGTGTGTGTAGTGTGTGTGTGTAGTATGTGGTGTGTGAGTGGTGTGTGTGGGTGTGTGAGTGGTTTGTGTGTAGTGTGTGTGTAGTGTGTAGTATGTAGAGTGTGTGTAGTGTGTGTCTGTAGTATGTAGTGTGTGTAGTATGTGGTGTGTGTGTAGTGTGTGTAGTGTGTAGTATGTAGAGTGTGTGTAGTGTGTGTCTGTAGTATGTAGTGTGTGTAGTATGTGGTGTGTGTGTAGTGTGTGTAGTGTGTGTAGTATGTAGAGTGTGTGTAGTGTGTGTCTGTAGTATGTAGTGTGTGTAGTATGTGGTGTGTGTGTAGTGTGTGTAGTGTGTGTAGTATGTGGTGTGTGTGTAGTGTGTGTAGTGTGTGTAGTATGTAGTGTGTTTAGTATGTGGTGTGTGTGTAGTGTGTGTAGTGTGTGTAGTATGTAGTGTGTGTAGTATGTAGTGTGTGTAGTATGTGGTGTGTGTGTAGTGTGTGTAGTGTGTGTAGTATGTAGTGTGTGTAGTATGTAGTGTGTGTAGTATGTGGTGTGTGTGTAGTGTGTGTAGTATGTAGTGTGTGTAGTATGTAGTGTGTGTAGTGTGTGGTGTGTGTGTAGTGTGTGTAGTGTGTGTAGTATGTAGTGTGTGTAGTATGTGGTGTGTGTGTAGTGTGTGTAGTATGTAGTGTGTGTAGTATGTAGTGTGTGTAGTGTGTGGTGTGTGTGTAGTGTGTGTAGTATGTAGTGTGTGTAGTATGTAGTGTGTGTAGTATGTGGTGTGTGTGTAGTGTGTGTAGTATGTAGTGTGTGTAGTATGTGGTGTGTGTGGTGTCTTTGTTTATTTCCCGGATGTAGTGGCGTGTCATCCTAGAGCGAGTGCATGGCTTGTGTGTGGGGAGTGGTGGCGCAGCGGTTAGCGCTACGCTGCGCTACGAACCCGGCGACCCGAGTTCGATTCCCGCTCACGGAAACCAACACCGGTGACGATTATCTGAATCGGTCGTGGGCCTCCCCTAGGTCGACTCAGCCTCTCTGCATCTCTCTCCCTCTTTCCCTTCCTCTCTCTCCCTTTTTCTGGCTCTCCATCTCTCCCCCTCTGTCTCCATCTCTCCCTCTCCCTTTCCCTCTCTCCTCTCTCTCTCTCCCTCTCTCCCCTCTCTCTCTCTCCCTCTCTCCTTCTCTCTCTCTCTCCCTCTCTCTTCCTAGCTCTCCCCCCCCCACTGTTCCTGCTAAGTTACGCCCTGGCTGGCTCTCTCTCTCTCCTCTCTCCCCTCTCCCTCTCTCCGCAAAGCGATGTTTGAGAAAACCACAGCAGGGGGTCGTGGCGAGTTCACGGCGGATCCACGCACGCGACACTCCGCGCGGTTTCACTCCTCGCTCGCAAAAGCGTTCCAGAGCACACACCCACTCGCTCGTTCACGCACTCTGTCAAACACTCACTCGCTGAATCGCTCTAACTCACCTGATCGCTCACTCGATCACTCACTCGCTGATTCGCTCACTCACTCTGTCACTTAATCACTCGCTCGCTTACTCACTTACTCACTCGCTCACTCACTCATTCTGTCGCTTACTTGCTCGCTCAGTCGCTGGCTCACTCACTCGCTGACTCACTCATTCTGTCAATCACTCACTTGCTAACTCACTCGCTCACTCAGTCGCACACTCGGTCACTCGCTGATTCACTCACTCACCGACTCGCTCACTCAGTCGCTCGCTCACTCCCTGGCTCCCTCGCTGACTCACTCGATCACTCGCTCACTCTTACTCGATCGCTTGCTCACTCACTCACTAGCTCACTCCCCTGCCGTCTGGGTCTCGGTGGTTGTGTTCTGCTTGGCTTTATTGCTGAAGCGAGCAGCCGGATGATTGAGCGGCTCAGTGACTGAGCGAGTGAGTGGGTGGGTGGGTGGGCGAGCAAGTGGGTGGGTGGGCGAGCGAGTGGGTGGGTGGGTGAGCGAGCGGGCGGACGGGCGAGCGGGCGGGCGAGTGGGCGGGCGGGCGAGTGGGTTGGGCGGGCGAGCGGGTGAGCTAGTGGGTTGGTGGGCGAGTGGGCGGGTTAATAGGCGGACTAGTGAGGGGACGAGCGGGTGGGCAAGTAGGTGGACGAGTGGACGGGCGAGTGGGTGGACGCTTGGGCTAGTGAGTGGGCTAGTGGGTGGGTGGGAGAGTGGGTGGAAGAGTGAGTGGGCGGGTGAGTGGGTGGGCGCTAGGGCGAGCGAGTGGGCTAGTGGGTGGGTGGGTGAGTGGGCGGGCGATTGGGCGAGCGAGTGGGTGGGCGAGTGGATGAGTGGGTGAGCGAGTGGGTAGGCGAGGTAATGAATGAGCCAGTGGGTGAACAAGCAAGTGAATGAATTTAGCGAGTGAGTGAATTAGCTTACGAGTGAATGAGTGGCGAGTTGATGAATCAGCGCCAACCTCTCCACCACGACCATGACCACCACCACGACCACCACCACCACTGCCTACACCAATTACAACAACAACCGCTCTTCGCCACTAAGTGGCGGTGACGTCACCACGACGCTTGTGCCAGGCTTTGTGCACGTTGAGGCCACGTGACGTGTTGAACGCCCACTGCCAGGAGGTCACGGGGCAGACCCAGGTGCCACAGGTCGACTGACTGAGATGACTGGCTGATGCACCACCTGTGCCCCCTACTGTGCCAACCTGCTGTGCTTTAGCCACCCGGCGCTCCGCTCGTTGTTGTGAGCGTCGCTCCTCTGCCCTCCGTTGTTGTTGGAGGGCGACTGCCTCCAGCTGCCCAGTAGCGTCCTTCACGAGCCTCCTCCACAGAAGCCGATCTTGACACCGCTCCACGTCCTCCTGTACCACATCACTCCATCTCTTCTCTAGCCCGTGCTGCGCCTGTTTAGCCCCCTCTATCCGGCCGAACAAAAGCTGTTTCGGCATGCGGTGGCTGGGCATGCGGGCTACATGACCCAGCCAACGCAGCCTTGCCTGCCGGACGAGCTCACTCATGGGATTTTGTCCAGATCTTTCAAGGATTTGTGAGCTTGTCACACAATCCAGCCTGGTTAAAGCCAGGATGGATCGTAGGCAGGCTAGCCTAAATGTTTCTAACCGGCGAAGATGTTCCATTAGGGGGTCCATGTTTCGCAAGCATAGAGAAGGGAGGGAATGACTGTGGCCGAGAAGACCTGAAGCTTCGAATGGAGCGACAGAACAGGTAGCTTTCACACAGCGTTACGCAACCGATGAAAATATATTGCCGCTAGACTGATTCGGAGTGAGACCTCTGCTGTTAAACCGGAGCCGGTCATGAGCACACTGCCCAGGTATGGGAAACTCTCCACTCTCTCCACAACTGCCCCATCACCGATGGGGAGCTGAGGGGGTGGAGTGTCCGATGGTACAAAATACCCAGGCAGGTGCTGTGAGGGTGGAGTGTCTGGCATCACGAACTACGTGGTCCAAATGGATGTTAAATACTGTTGGAGCCAGAGGACATCCCTGTCGCACCCCAAAGTGAACAGGGAATGGCTCTGACTCCCGGCCACGTAGTTTTACCCGGGCCCGCTCACCATCATGAAGTTCCTTAATGATTGTGATCAAAGAGTCAGGGACACCATCACCTCTGCTGTAGCAGATGGTGATGGTGATGCTGATGGGCATGTTGCGCGTGATGTCGATGGTGGTGATGGTGATGATGTTGATGGTCATGTTGCACGTGATGTCGATGGTGGTGATGGTGATGTTGATGGTCATGTTGCGTGTGATGTCGATGGTGGTGATGGTGATGATGTTGATGGTCATGTGGCGTGTGATGTCGATGGTGGTGATGTTGTTGATGGTCATGTGGCGTGTGATGTCGATGGTGGTGATGTTGTTGATGGTCATGTTGCACGTGATGTCGATGGTGGTGATGGTGATGCTGATGGTCATGTTGCGTGTGATGTCGATGGTGGTGATGGTGATGATGTTGATGGTCATGTGGCGTGTGATGTCGATGGTGGTGATGTTGTTGATGGTCATGTTGCGTGTGATGTCGATGGTGGTGATGTTGTTGATGGTCATGTTGCGTGTGATGTCGATGGTGGTGATGGTGATGCTGATGGTCATGTTGCGCGTGATGTCGATGGTGGTGATGTGTCAGAGAGAAGACGTTTCCCCAGGAGTGTCTGACTGAGATGTTCCCTGGCAAGAGTGGAGACTTCACGAGCGAGACTTTCAGTCCCACCTGGTACCTCATAGAGAACCACTCCACCACCAGGTGAGGACTCACCACCACACTCACCACCACACTGGCCACCACACTCACCACTACACTCACCACTACGCTCACCACCACACTCACCACCACACTCACTCCTACACTCAACCATCACACTCACCCCCACACTCACCTCTACACTCACCACCACACTCACCACCACACTCACCACTACACTCACTCCTACACTCACCACCACACTCACCACTACACTCACCCCCACACTCACCACAACACTCACCACCACACTCACCACCACACTCACTCCTACACTCACCACCACACTCACCACTACACTCACCACCACACTTACCACAACACTCACCACCAAACTCACCCCTACACTCAACCACCACACTCACCCCTACACTCACCTCTACACTCACCACCACACTCACCACCACACTCACCCCTACACTCACCCCCACACTCACCCCCACACTCACCCCTACACTCACCACCACACTCACCCCCACACTCACCACCACACTCACCCCCACACTCACCCCCACACTCACCACCACACTCACCCACACACTCACCACCACACTCACCCCCACACTCACCCCCACACACTCACCCCCACACTCACCCCCACACTCACCCCCACACTCACCACCACACTCACCCCCACACTCACCCCCACACTCACCCCCACACTCACCCCCACACTCACCACTACACTCACCCCCACACTCACCACCACACTCACCACCACACTCACCACCACACTCACCCCCACACTCACCCCCACACACTCACCCCCACACTCACCCCCACACTCACCACTACACTCACCCCCACACTCACCCCCACACTCACCACCACACTCACCCACACACTCACCACCACACTCACCCCCACACTCACCCCCACACTCACCCCCACACTCACCACCACACTCACCCCCACACTCACCACTACACTCACCCCCACACTCACCCCCACACTCACCACCACACTCACCCCTACACTCACCACCACACTCACCCCCACACTCACCCCCACACACTCACCCCCACACTCACCACCACACTCACCACCACACTCACCCCCACACTCACCCCCACACTCACCACCACACTCACCCCCACACACTCACCCCCACACTCACCACCACACTCACCCCCACACACTCACCCCCACACTCACCCCCACACTCACCCCCACACACTCACCCCCACACACTCACCCCCACACTCACTCCCACACTCACCCCCACACTCACCACCACACTCACCACCACACTCACCACCACACTCACCCCCACACTCACCACCACACTTACCCCCACACTCACCCCCACACTCACCCCCACCCTCACCCCCACACTCACCCCCACACTCACCACCACACTCACCCCCACACTCACCCCCACACTCACCCCCACACTCACCCCCACACTCACCACCACACTCACCACCACACTCACCACCACACTCACCCCCACACTCACCCCCACACTCACCACCACACTCACCCCCACACACTCACCCCCACACTCACCCCCACACTCACCCCCACACTCACCACCACACTCACCACCACACTCACCACCACACTCACCACCACACTCACCACCACACTCACCCCCACACTCACCACCACACTCACCACCACACTCACCACCACACTCACCCCCACACTCACCACCACACTTACCCCCACACTCACCCCCACACTCACCACCACACTCACCACCACACTCACCACCACACTCACCCCCACACTCACCACCACACTCACCCCCACACTCACCACCACACTCACCCCCACACTCACCCCTACACTCACCACCACACTCATCACCACACTCACCCTGAGACACTCACCCCCACACACTCACCACCACACTCACCACCACACTCACCACCACACTCACCCCCACACTCACACCTACACTCACCCCCACACTCACCCCCACACTCACCACCACACTCACCCCCACACACTCACCCCCACACTCACCACCACACTCACCCCCACACTCACCCCCACACTCACCCCCACACTCACCCCCACACTCACCCCCACACTCACCCCCACACTCACCCCCACACTCACCACCACACTCACCCCCACACACTCACCACCACACTCACCCCCACACTCACCCCCACACTCACCCCCACACTCACCCCCACACTCACCACCACACTCACCCCCACACTCACCACCACACTCACCACCACACTCACCCCTACACTCACCACTGCCGTGCGGCCGGCAAGTCCATCGGTTTCACGTTTCTGATCCGTCGCCACGGGGACCGACCGCCAGCCCCGAAGTAACTGGTCCGTCGAGTTGGCTTGTGCGTTGAATTATTGAGTCCAGAAAGCCCCAAATAAGTAAATAAACCGCCGAGTAGTCTGCAGAATTGAGAGCGGGAGAGTTTTTTTTTTTTTTTTACCCACAACCCCCTGCCCGCCACTTCCCGCCGCCCCCCCAAACTGGCCAAAAAGAGAAAACGCTGAACACAAAAGCGCAGCCGAGGTCATCCGGTGGCTCACCAATTGGGGACGTCGCTGATTGGCTGAGCGGGTGTTGGGGGTGAGGGTGCGGGGTGGGGGGGGGGGGCTATTATCTCAGCCCCCCCCCTCTTAAGCAGCGGCTCCGATCGCCCCGGAATTGGCAACACGCGACCCGCGCGCGTTACAAACGTCGCCGGCAAGACAGGCGTCCCGCGGGTATAGAGCCGCTCGGCGCGGGGCTACCGACGCTGTTGTCGTGTCTTCGCCTCCTTCTGCCGTCGTTCCCTGGTGTGACATTTGGCGGCGAGGCAAGGCCCGTAACGGAGGGCCGCAGCCGTCTCTGCCGTTCACCGAGTCGGCTTCACGGGAAATGAACCTCGGACCGCTGACGGCTGCGAGCGGCGACGGCGGTGTGATTGTCACCGCGTGGACACCACACACGCACGCGCTGTACCTGCGGTCGGACTTCACTCCTCGCGTGCAAGGCCGGCATCCGTGCATCTGTTGCACGCCGTCGATGAGATCGTTGGCAAGCGTCAACAAGAAACCCGTGGTGGTGGGGGGGGGGGCCGGGCGGGCGGGGGGGTTCCTCTGTGCGAGGCGACACGTGTGATCGCACGCAAAAAAAAACGGTACCCCGATGGTCACCGAGAGACTTACCCACGGTGGGTATGAGATGTTAGCTACCTCGCCTGGTGTGCAGGAGGTCGTGGGTTCGATCCAGATCCTAACACCTGCTACTGTGTATTTGGAGTCTGCGTGTCTCTCTCTCGTCATCATCACGATGGCTAGGAGATTTTAACTACCTCGCCTGGTGTACAGGAGGTCGTGGTTTCAATCCTGACCCTGACACCTGCTGTGTATTTGGAGTTTGTGTCTCTCTCTCATCATCATCACGGTGGCTAGGAGATGTTAACTACCTCGGCCGGTCTACAGGAGGTCGTGGGTTCGATCACGACCCTGACGACGCCTGCTGTATATTTGGAGTTTGCGTGTCTCTCATCATCATCACGGTGGCTAGGAGATGTTAACTACCTCGCCTGGTCTACAGGAGGTCGTGGGTTCCATCCCGACCCTGACGACGCCTGCTGCTGCTGTATATTTGGAGTCTGCGTCTCTCTCCCCGTGGTCACGTGGATTTGTCTCCAGGTCCTCCGGTTTTTCCCTGCACGTTTAAAATCAATGTGGCGCGTTTAGAGTTATTTGGCTGCTGAACATTTTCACGTAATGATGATAAGTCACTCGATTTAAAGCTTTCGTGACTGCAATGATTCATCTTCTTTGGTTCTTTTGGTAAAGTCACGTAGAATGAGAATAAAATAATAAATTGATAAAATAAAATAACACAATAATATTCTCACGACGTTTCGGCCACAACACAAGCGGCCTTCATCAGGTGAAGGGACGAGACTGTCTGGTAGGACAGCGCTGGAGTGAAAGAGCCACGCTTAGATCATGGCCTTTAAGCTGTGTGAGAGGAACAAAGCGCCCTCAACTTTAGCACGCTTTGTTCCTCTCACACAGCTTAAAGGCCGTGATCTGAACGTGGCTTTTTCGCTCCAGCGCTGTCCTACCAGACAGTCTCGCCCCTTCACCTGATGAAGGCCGCTTGTGTTGTGGCCGAGACGTCGTGAGAATTTTATTGTTATTTTATTTTATCAATTTATTATTTTATTCTCATTCTACGTGGTGACTTCACCGAAAGAACCAAAGCAGATGAATCCTTGCAGTCACGAAAGCTTTAAATCGAAAACCAGTGATAGCGATTATCTGAACTGGTCCTGGGGCTCCCCTAGGTCGACTCAGCCTCGAATGAGTTACCCATTGCGGCGCGTTAGTGATCATCTCCTTTGGGGAGAGACAAAGGCGGCCGGGCGTGGTGCCGGCCGCCCACCTGCATCGCGTGCGACGGCGGCAGCCTTCATGGGCAGTGCTGCTCGTTACTAGCAGCGCTTGCCCCGACAGGCTTGTCAGAGGCCACACGGTGGCGGATCTTCATTGTTGTCTTCTCCGTCTTTCCAGCTTTGAGAACCTCCGGGTGGGCGTGCAGAACCTCCGCAAGCAGGCCTCCAAGAAGGACGAGGGAGGCCTCTCCTGCGTCAAGGGAGGCCTCAGCACATTCTTCGAGGCCCAGGATGCCCTGTCAGGTGAGCCGGTCGCTGTGCCCGTGACGCGCCAGCCAGAGCCAGCCAGAGACAGCCAGAGACAGCCAGAGACAGCCAGAGACAGCCAGTCACACAGCCAGCCAGTCACACAGCCAGCCAGAGCCAGCCAGAGACAGCCAGAGCCAGCCAGTCACACATCCAGCCAGAGCCAGCCAGAGCCAGCCAGAGCCAGCCAGAGCCAGCCAGAGCCAGCCAGTCACACAGCCAGCCAGAGCCAGCCAGAGCCAGCCAGAGCCAGCCAGAGCCAGCCAGAGCCAGCCAGTCACACAGCCAGCCAGAGCCAGCCAGAGCCAGCCAGAGCCAGCCAGAGCCAGCGAGTCACACAGGCAGCCAGAGCCAGCCAGAGCCAGCCAGAGCCAGCCAGTCACACAGCCAGCCAGAGCCAGCCAGAGCCAGCCAGAGCCAGCCAGAGCCAGCCAGCCAGAGCCAGCCAGCCAGCCAGAGCCAGCCAGAGCCAGCCAGAGCCAGCCAGTCATACAGCCAGCCAGAGCCAGCCAGAGCCAGCCAGAGCCTGCCACACAGCCAGCGTTAGCCAGTCAACCAGCCACACAGCCAGCACCAGTCACCCACACAGCCACACAGCCAGCGCCAGCCAGTCAACCAGCCAGCCAGAGTCAACCACACAGCCAGCGCCAGCCTGCCGCACAGCCAGCGCCAGCCAGCGAGCGCTTGATGACCGGCCTGAGTTTATGAATCTTGTATCTGGGTGTATCTGCGTGTGTGTGTTGTTTCACACCACCAAATGTAGCCAACCACAACAACAACAACAAGCAGGGTCTCTGTGTGAGTCTGTGTGTCTCTGTGTGAGTCTATGTGTCTCTGTGTGAGTCTATGGGTCTCTGTGTGAGTCTACGGGTCTCTGTGTGAGTCTACGGGTCTCTGTGTGAGTCTATGTGTCTCTGTGTGAGTCTATGGGTCTCTGTGTGAGTTTATGGGTCTCTGTGTGAGTCTATGTGTCTCTGTGTTAGTCTATGGATCTCTGTGTTAGTCTATGGGTCTCTGTGTGAGTCTATGGGTCTGTGTTTGAGTCTATGGGTCTCTGTGTGAGTCTATGGGTCTCTGCGTGAGTTTATGGATCTCTGTGTGAGTCTATGGATGTCTGTGTGCGTCTATGGGTCTCTGCGTGAGTCTATGGATCTCTGTGTTAGTCTATGGATCTCTGTGTGCGTCTATGGGTCTCTGTGTGAGTCTGTGTCTCTGTGAGTCTATGGGTCTGTGTGTGAGTCTATGGATCTCTGTGTTAGTCTATGGATCTCTGTGTGCGTCTATGGGTCTCTGTGTGAGTCTGTGTCTCTGTGAGTCTATGGGTCTGTGTGTGAGCCTATGGGTCTCTGTGTGAGTCTGTGGGTCTGTGTGTGAGTCTATGGGTCTCTGTGTGAGTCTATGGATCTCTGTGTGAGTCTGTGGGTCTCTGTGTGAGTCTGTGGGTCTCTGTGTGAGTCTGTGGGTCTCTGTGTGAGTCTGTGGATCTCTGTGTGAGTCTATGGATCTCTGTGTGCGTCTATGGGTCTCTGCATGAGTCTATGGATCTCTGTGTTAGTCTATGGATCTCTGTGTGCGTCTATGGGTCTCTGTGTGAGTCTGTGTCTCTGTGAGTCTATGGGTCTGTGTGTGAGCCTATGGGTCTCTGTGTGAGTCTATGGGTCTCTGTGTGAGTCTATGGATCTCTGTGTGAGTCTATGGGTCTCTGTGTGAGTCTGTGGTTCTCTGTGTGAGTCTATGGATCTGTGTGTGAGTCTGGTTCTCTGTGGGTCTATGGGTCTCTGTGTGAGTCTGTGGCTCTTTGTGCGAGTTTATGGGTCTCTACGTGAGTATCTGGGTCTCTGTGTGAGTCTGCGCGTCTCTGTGTGTTGTATGTATCTACGTAGAAATTCGTTCCTACCACACTGTACGTAGCCAACCGCGGCGATCGGAGGTGCGCTAATTCAGCCTCGAAGTCCTCGCCGCCTCGTCCTCCACGAGGGGTCCTGGCAGCTTTGTGGCTGTCGAGGGGGAGCGATGCTGCCGTTCCCAATCGAGCGGTGGCGCAGCGGTTAGCACGCTGAGCAGCGCTACGCGCACGGCATCGGACCGCCGAGTTCGATTCGCGCTCACGGCCACCGACAACAGCGGTCATGGCGATTATCGGAACCGGCGCCCCTGGTCCTCCTCCCCTAGATCGACTCAGCCTCAAAACGAGTACCCGGTGCGGTGCGTAGTAAACATCGCCACCGGGGGAAGACAAAGGCGGCCGGGCGTGGTGCTGGCCACCCACCCCCTCGTGTGCCACGGTGCCGGCCTTCATAGGCGCTGCTGCCGATCGCTACTAACAGCACTCAACCCACAGATTGAATACATTTCCATGTCGTTTTGACTCTTTACCGGGTGATATTGTGTGGGGTTTTGACTCTTTACCGGTGACATTGTGTGGGGTTTTGACTCTTTACCGGTGACATTGTGTGGGGTTTTGACTCTTTACCGGTTACATTGTGTGGGGTTTTTAACTCTTTACCGGTGACATTGTGTGGGGTTTTGACTCTTTACTGGTTACATTGTGTGGGGTTTTGACTCTTTACCGGTGACATTGTGTGGGGTTTTGACTCTTTACCGGTGACATTGTGTGGGGTTTTGACTCTTTACCGGTTACATTGTGTGGGGTTTTAACTCTTTACCGGTTACATTGTGTTGGGTTTTGACTCTTTACCGGTGACATTGTGTGGGGTTTTTACTCTTTACCGGTTACATTGTGTGGGGTTTTGACTCTTTACCGGTTACATTGTGTGGGGTTTTAACTCTTTACCGGTGACATTGTGTGGGGTTTTGACTCTTTACCGGTTACATTGTGTGGGGTTTTGACTCTTTACCGGTTACATTGTGTGGGGTTTTAACTCTTTACCGGTGACATTTTGTGGGGTTTTGACTCTTTACCGGTTACATTGTGTGGGGTTTTGACTCTTTACCGGTTACATTGTGTGGGGTTTTGACTCTTTACCGGTGACATTGTGTGGGGTTTTGACTCTTTACTGGTTACATTGTGTGGGGTTTTGACTCTTTACCGGTGACATTGTGTGGGGTTTTGACTCTTAGCGGTTACATTGTGTGGGGTTTTGACTCTTTACTGGTTACATTGTGTGGGGTTTTGACTCTTTACCGGTGACATTGTGTGGGGTTTTGACTCTTTACCGGTGACATTTTGTGGGGTTTTGACTCTTTACCGGTTACATTGTGTGGGGTTTTGAATCTTTACCGGTTACATTGTGTGGGGTTTGACTCTTTACCAGTTACATTGTGTGGGGTTTTAACTCTTTACCGGTTACATTGTGTGGGGTTTTGACTCTTTACCGGTGACATTGTGTGGGGTTTTGACTCTTTACTGGTTACATTGTGTGGGGTTTTGACTCTTTACCGGTGACATTGTGTGGGGTTTTGACTCTTTACCGGTTACATTGTGTGGGGTTTTGACTCTTTACCGGTGACATTGTGTGGGGTTTTGACTCTTTACCGGTGACATTGTGTGGGGTTTTGACTCTTTACTGGTTACATTGTGTGGGGTTTTGACTCTTTACCGGTGACATTGTGTGGGGTTTTGACTCTTTACCGGTGACATTGTGTGGGGTTTTGACTCTTTACCGGTTACATTGTGTGGGGTTTTGACTCTTTACCGGTGACATTGTGTGGGGTTTTGACTCTTTACTGGTTACATTGTGTGGGGTTTTAACTCTTTACCGGTTACATTGTGTGGGGTTTTGACTCTTTACCGGTGACATTGTGTGGGGTTTGACTCTTTAACCGGTTACATTGTGTGGGGTTTTGACTCTTTACCGGTGACATTGTGTGGGGTTTTGACTCTTTACCGTTGACATTGTGTGGGGTTTTGACTCTTTACCGGTTACATTGTGTGGGGTTTTGACTCTTTACCGGTGACATTGTGTGGGGTTTTGACTCTTTACCGGTGACATTGTGTGGGGTTTTGACTCTTTACCGGTTACATGTGTGGGTTTTGACTCTTTAGCCGGTTACATTGTGTGGGGTTTTGACTCTTTACCGGTTACATTGTGTGGGGTTTTAACTCTTTACCGGTGACATTGTGTGGGGTTTTGACTCTTTACTGGTTACATTGTGTGGGGTTTTGACTCTTTACCGGTGACATCGTGTGGGGTTTTGACTCTTTACCGGTGACATTGTGTGGGGTTTTGACTCTTTACCGGTTACATTGTGTGGGGTTTTAACTCTTTACCGGTTACATTGTGTTGGGTTTTGACTCTTTACCGGTGACATTGTGTGGGGTTTTTTCTCTTTACCGGTTACATTGTGTGGGGTTTTGACTCTTTACCGGTTACATTGTGTGGGGTTTTAACTCTTTACCGGTGACATTGTGTGGGGTTTTGACTCTTTACCGGTTACATTGTGTGGGGTTTTGACTCTTTACCGGTTACATTGTGTGGGGTTTTAACTCTTTACCGGTGACATTTTGTGGGGTTTTGACCCTTTACCGGTTACATTGTGTGGGGTTTTGACTCTTTACCGGTTACATTGTGTGGGGTTTTTGACTCTTTACCGGTGACATTGTGTGGGGTTTTGACTCTTTACGGTTACATTGTGTGGGGTTTTGACTCTTTACCGGTGACATTGTGTGGGGTTTTGACTCTTTACCGGTGACATTGTGTGGGGTTTTGACTCTTTACCGGTTACATTGTGTGGGGTTTTGACTCTTTACCGGTGACATTGTGTGGGGTTTTAACTCTTTACTGGTTACATTGTGTGGGGTTTTGACTCTTTACCGGTGACATTGTGTGGGGTTTTGACTCTTTACCGGTGACATTGTGTGGGGTTTTGACTCTTTAACCGGTGACATTGTGTGGGGTTTTGACTCTTTACCAGGTTACATTGTGTGGGGTTTTGACTCTTTACCGGTTACATTGTGTGGGGTTTTTGACTCTTTTACCGGTTACATTGTGTGGGGTTTGACTCTTTACCGGTGACATTGTGTGGGGTTTTGACTC